GTGACATTCTGTAAAGAAGCTGCTGATTCATGATATGTAGCTTAGCGCTAGAATTAGCATGATTTGACTTGAAGTCTATACCCCTACTGTAGGCATGAGTAGAGAGCATCAGAAAGGGGATTTACCTGCTGTGTGAAGTCCATACCCCTATTGTAGGCATGAGTAAAGAGCATCAGAAAGGGGATTTACCTACTGTGTGAAGTCCATACCCCTACTGTAGGCATGAGTAGAGAGCATCAGAAAGAGGATTTACCTACTGTGTGAAGTCCATACCCCTATTGTAGGCATGAGTAAAGAGCATCAGAAAGGGGATTTACCTACTGTGTGAAGTCCATACCCCTATTGTAGGCATGAGTAGAGAGCATCAGAAAGGGGATTTACCTACTGTGTGAAGTCCATACCCCTATTGTAGGCATGAGTAAAGAGCATCAGAAAGGGGATTTACCTACTGTGTGAAGTCCATACCCCTACTGTAGGCATGAGTAGAGAGCATCAGAAAGGGAATTTACCTACTGTGTTAAGACCATACCCCTACTGTACGCATGAGTGCATGAGTAGAGAGCAAGGCTCCTCATAGACAACTGTGAAGGCCCTGACCTTATTGATTGGAGAAAAAGGAAGGTGGGAATATAGTTAACTGTTCTTCAAAGACATCCAGTTTTCGCCCAGTTTGGCATGTAGGAAGCAGTGGCAGAGCGAGCTATACTTAATAAGGGACAGAATTTGATAAATAGAAGCTAGGTGTGACTTAAGCTTGCTAGAATTAACACAGTGACAAGAATTGACCTATCTGTATAAGAATTAGGAGTGAGTAATACACGGTTAAATTTACTGTAACTTATTTTGGTGTTTCCTAGTTATATGACCAAGCTAACCAGACATCTGACTGAATTTGACATTTCGAATTACATTTTTACTTTCCCCGTGTGGGTTCCGGGTTCCATTATGGAAATAAAAAGGAAATAGGTCGACTACCATTCTAAAAAGTATGTCGTTTAAAAAAAATAATTAGGGGTTTCCTTCAAAGTAGGAGTGCATCTGCCTGAGAGGCAAGAAACCAACAATCTGCATACCCGTAAGCTTTATCTGTAAAACAGATGTGCATGTAAATCTGAAGTCTAGAAGCAGACGATCAGTTAGAACTTTCTTCTGGAGTTTACAGCCGGTGAACACAAAGAAAAAGATGTTACTTGGAGATATCTAGAAACAAAACATGACTTGGTCATGACTTCAAGCTAGCTAGACAAAGGACACAATTTGGCATATTGATCTAGACTTTGGTTGGACCTGTCTAGAATTAAAACGACTGGTTTTGGCATGTAGAAATTAGATATGACTTGGAGCTAGAATTAAAACATAGTAGATTTGGCATAAAGAAATTAGGTACATTTGGCGTATAAAAACTAGGTAAATTTTGCATAAATAGAAACTAGGTGTGGCTTGGAGCTAGTTAGAATTAAAAACATGGTTACAGTACAAAAAATGAATTACAAAGGACAGTTCAGAATTACAATAACAATATGGTTACTGATATATGTATAGAGAACAAACATATAACTACTTATAGATATACTTTACATTGAGAGCTACCTTAATATTCTGTAGTCATGTAAATCATGTAAATCTTGGTGAAGAGACAGAATATGTGCTTATCAAGGTATAAAGTCAGTTATAAGTCTAAGGAAGGTGGTGTGTAGAATACAGCAAAAGTTGAATATCGTGAGCTAGATAGAATCTTGGGCTGGAAAGCAAGTATTGCAGTGTTATGATTAGAACATTAGGCTGGAAAACAAGTATTGCAGTGTCATGATTAGAACATTAGGCTGGAAAGCAAGTATTGCAGTGTCATGATTAGAACATTAGGCTGGAAAGCAAGTATTGCAGTGTCATGATTAAAACATTAGGCTGGAATGCAAGTATTGCAGTGTCATGATTAGAACATTAGGCTGGAAAGCAAGTATTGCAGTGTCATGATTAAAACATTAGGCTGGAATGCAAGTATTGCAGTGTCATGATTAGAACATTAGGCTGGAAAGCAAGTATTTCAGTGTCATGATTATTAGGCTGGAAAGCAAGTATTGCAGTGTCATGATTAGAACATTATACTGGAAAGCAAGTATTGCAGTGTCACGATTAGAACATTGGTTGGAAAGCAAGTATTGCAGTGTCATGAACTAAAACATTAGGCTGGAAAGCAAGTATAGCTGTGTCATGAACTAGAACATTATACTGGAAAGCAAGTATTGCAGTGTCACGATTAGAACATTAGGCTGGAAAGCAAGTATTTCAGTGTCATGAACTAGAACATTATACTGGAAAGCAAGTATTGCAGTGTCATGATTAGAACATTGGTTGGAAAGCAAGTATTGCAGTGTCATGAACTAAAACATTAGGCTGGAAAGCAAGTATAGCATTGTCATGAACTAGAACATTAGACTGGAAATAAAGTTATTGCATTCTTGTGACCTAGAACATTGGACTGGAAAGCAAGCATTGCAGTGTCGTAAGCTTAAAAATAAACATTAGAAGGAAAAACATTAGAAGAATCCACCATATTAGTTTCTGACAAATAGTTTTATCGCACGGGCACACACCGGAAGGAGTTTGTTAATGTGCTATGCACCATTCTTTAAACCTAAAGGGTCTATTTACATCATGAATGGCTTGTTCATTAAATGTGCATTGTTTGCTTTTTTCCTTTGCTGACTGATTTCTTTTTTTTTCTAGGAGGATCAACTAGAAAGTGAAGAGAGATCTGTGACAACTTTTGCCAAAGCCAACACATCAGCTTCTTTCATGCCCCTCTCCACAACAATGGAGGAAGAGACAGCCGAGAGTATTTTAGACCAACATTGCTCACGAATCTGGGAGTCATCCAACCATGACACACCCTCATACTCACCGCCACGGCCTAGCTCGCCTCCCTACAGGTCGCCAGATCGTCACAAAGACCTTCGTTCAAAAGCCTTGGTCCACCCTCCTGGACTATCTCCTGCTGCATATGCACCCCGGAGCTCCCACAAAAAACGGGAGTTTGTCACGTACGATATTGACGATCGCAGTATGTTGGTGTCCGGGACAACGGAGACTCATCGTCACATCCATTACCATCATTATCACCACCATCGTGATTCGTTAAAGAAAGCACATGTAGACTACGATACACAGACTAGTGGTGTCTCAGCATGGAGGACTGAAAACTTACAGAATATTTCTTCGGAGTTACCTAATCCTTATTATGCAAATAGAGGCAGGACTCACACCCGAAAAAATAGTAGTAATGTGCTTAAAAAAACTTCAGATTCCTGCAGTAATTTTGACAGTGGGATTAGTGTTATGGATTCTGTAAAGACCGCTTCCATGAACTGGGGACATCCAGCAAGTGAAAAGTGAGTATATAAGTGTTGTCATTGTCTCTTTCCCCTACCCCTGTCTTTTTTACTTCTATCTACTAATTGGTCCTGGCAGCTGACATTGTTGGCTGCATTTAATGCATGGATTTGCTCAGGTTTTTTTCTCGAAAAAAAAATGTGCATGTACTCTCTCACCACAAAGAAAAAAAAGGTGCAAGTACTCACTACAAATTTGTCTATTACAGTCATATTGAAAACAAATAATGCCTTAAAAAGGTGCTGGGATGGTTGTTCCAAGACAGGCTGTTTCAAATATTTCGCAAAGCTGTCATAATTGCTCATGTTCTTCTCAGATGCATACAGCTTCCATGCAGTTGAAAGAAAAACGTATTTGCCTTCATTGAACTCATTTATTTGGTGGAGATAATGGTTTATAAAGAATGAATTCAAAAGTGCAAAACCTGGAGGAGGCAAAAGGTCAGTCTGCACAAAGGTTGGGCAAAATTTCATTAATGCTAAAGGCATGAAGGTTTACAAGGTGAGAATGGTGGCAGTGGACTAGGTGGCTTTCTGGCCTTACCATGATGAGAGCAAGGTTCTGCAAAGGACCTGCTACAGGATGTTGATGTATTGAACTTGGGTAGGGTTGATAGTTTTCACATTCTGCTAGTGCAGCAGCTGTTTAAGCCTACTCTTTGCAATTTCTTACTGATGAAAGCAGAAGATGCTGAAGTGCATATTATAAGCAGAAGATCATCTATCGTTCATCTTCAAGTGAGAAGATGAATGAGCACTTGTGTTCAGAATGCTGGGCTCTCATTTGTAGACTAATGTTCAACCCTCAGGAAGGCAATAGTAGGCAGTTCTCACCTTGGTCAGCATCAGAAATAAAAATTTTCAAGCAGCCTTAATTCTTTAGGCTCAAGGACACCTCATATTTGAAAATGGTAAACATAAGCATTAAAGACTTCCACAATTTGAGGCTCCTCCACAGCAGATGCTGTGGTGGGGCTATTCAGCTAGTGGTCCGCACGCAGTCCAAGTCTGGCTCGCAGCTTCAAATCATTGACTTTTGCATTGTATAATCTTTTTATGCTGGGGCTGAGGTCTCTGGCCCATGAACATCCCCATTTTCCACACGTTTGGCCCCTGAGTGAACTTAGTTGAATAACTCTGTGCTATTGGATACAAAGAGATGGCACAGTCTCCTTCAGGGGCCCTGCCACAGACATTTATTGCTAATACTCCTGATAGTCGATGTGAAGACAGTGCATTATATGTTCCCTGTCTTCCCTGTGTGGGCCTAGGGCATTAAGGCAGGTGGTAGTTGTGTGAGAATAGATCCATTGTCCTCTAACAAGCATATCATAGGAGGCAACTAACTAGGGTTGTTTCCTACAAAATCGGTGTGCATCTGCCTGGGAGGGGTAAGCCAACAGTCTGCTGCAAACAGATCTGTTAAAGGGGTTTGCACACAAAACTCGTGTCTTGCAACAAGACTGAAATTTCTGCTGGAGTTTACAGCCAATACAAAAGAGGTTCCCTGTTAAGCATCTGTTATTTTTTTTAACCTACTGTTTCCTCACAAAGGCAAATAATTTCTCTCTCTACAGTCTGTTCTATTCTTGCAGATAAATCTCAGCTCTGGTTTTGTGTTGGGTTGTTTTGTAATTTACATGTCTCAGCACTAGTCTGGCTGGCAATGCCATTGTGGGTGCCCTAATTGTAACTCCTTTAGAGGTTGAAGGGGCTGTCTGGTGTCTGTTGTGTTGTCTGCAGTGCAGTTTGAGATTTTAAAATCTTAAGATGTTACAGTGAATCTTTGAGTAGCAGCCTGTAGGAGACAAACTGATCCGATTCATCAATCTTATTAGGTCTTTTATGCTAAAAGGAGAGTTGTTTGCCTGCCCCTCACTGGCTTTCTAACACCACCTTTCTGCTAACATTTGGCCTTCTGTGCTCTTATCTGCTCCTGTCCACCATTTCTCTCTCCCTTTAGTCCCCTGTCCTCACCTCTTTGTCCCAGCTGACTGAGGAAGTTTGACACTCAATATTTGTTTGTCCTGTTTTGACAGACCCCTTTTAACTTCAGCTTCACCTAGTATGCCCTAAAAGGCTATAATGACATTGTTTTCTGAGTATGTTACCTGCATATTCTCAGCAAATACTGGCTAGAAAGGAAGAGAGAAAAAGGGGAAGGGGGAAAACAGAATACTTAGTGTTCTTGTGTGCCCTGGGCTTTAAACATTGGCCTGGCAAGGTAATCTGGGGGAGCTTCTGAGGAATGCTTTGAGCAGGCTTTGAAGATGATATTATCCCTCAGACAGCAGGCTGTGGGAGGAGGGGTGTGCTGCTGTTGGTGTCTGTACTTGCACAGTTCTGGTAGGAGGAGGTGGAATTGGTGGGAGGAGTTGTAATGCTCAATATCAGTTCTTGTTGATACATAAGAGATATGCTTGAACAATATATTTCTCTGTAATCTAAGAATGGTGTGTCTGACTTTAAAAAAAAATGGGTAGACTTAAAAATGTCAATCATTTTAAGATACTTTCTACTTACACACAGACCTGCTTCTAATTTAGGCCCACGAGTACTTTCTGTTGGATTAGGTAGTGATCACGCCTCTTCGCACTTTCTAGCTTCTTTTAATATATGGTCCATGCAGTTGATCTTTAATATTTTATGTGTGGCAGAAAAAATATTTTATGAAATATGTTTATATCTGAACAGATAGTTGCTAAAAGAAAAGTGAACCTAATAAAATCTTATTAAAAGACAAAAAAGGCACAAAAGAAATATTTCAGCCATGTTAAAAGATTTAACTTCTGCTCTTGGTTCTAGGGTCCCTTTGTGGGAAGACTAGAATAGACCCCATAGACCCACTACCTCCCCAACAAGCATAAGAGTGGACTGACTTTGAAGCATAAGAGTTGACTAACTGGGGGCTTCCTATAGAGGCGGAGTGCATCTGCCTGAGAGACAAGGAACCAACAGTCTACATACATATAAGTCACATTTGTAAAATCGATGTGCACATAACTCCGGTTCTGTAACTAGTCTAAAGTTCAAGGTGGATGAACAAGATGAACAACCAGAACTTTCTGTTTACAACCGGTGAACGTGAAAAAAAAAAAGAAGAGATGTAATGCTCTTATAAAAACCATACTGGAGTGGGCAGGAAGTTGAAGGCAAACATACACAAGGCAGGCAATGATACAAACGGGAGAACACTAAGAATGAGATGACTGCAGTCTCAGAGAGTGTGTATCCAGAACGAAAGACAACATCGGGATATCTTGCAAAATCACACCCTACACAAGTCTCTCCATCCCCATGGGCAAGTAAAGTTGTGGAAAGTGAAGGTGACCAGCGGGATGTTGACCACATTAGCCATTATGTGCCAATGTGTCTAAAATATATGAAAGTAAAATCGTATGCCAGAAACACCGCTGGTGTGAAAAAGGGTCCCTTACTTTGCATCCGGTACACGTCTGTATAACATTATTGTCTGAACAGATGGGAAAAGTGCCTGTACAGCATACAGCCAGCCAGCCCCCTATAGATTAATATTGGCACGGCCTTGTAATGTGTGACTTCAGACCGCTAGCTAAAGTAGACTGGTACAGTTTATGTTGTGGCTAATGTGCCATGTACAATAGCTAAAGTAGACTGGTACAGTTAATCTTGTGGCTAGTGTGCCATGTACACTAGCTAAAGTAGACTGGTACAGTTTATGTTGTGGCTAATGTGCCATGTACAATATAGCTAAAGTAGACTGGTACAGTTTATGTTGTGGCTAATGTGCCATGTACAGTATAGCTAAAGTAGACTGGTACAGTTTATGTTGTGGCTAATGTGCCATGTACAGTATAGCTAAAGTAGACTGGTACAGTTTATGTTGTGGCTAATGTGCCATGAACAATATAGCTAAAGTAGACTGGTACAGTTTATGTTGTGGCTAATGGGCCATGTACGGGCTCTAGATCTTGGTCAAAGACTTTTCGGTACTTCAATTTTAATTTGTCCCAAAATGAAGAAAATCTGGGAGTTTCCGGGAAAAGTCCAGTATTGTAGGGGTGTTATGGGTTGGGATTAAGGCTAATCTCTTTCTGAGGCAGCTAGGGCTGACAAGGAAACAGTCATTTTTTATGCCAGGGCACGCAGGTGTTCTGCTGTTGTCACACCAAATTATAGCTGGTATTAATTTCAACCCATACACTCCTAAAATATTGGACTTTTACCGGGAACTCCCAAATTTGATTTGTTTGCGGTGAATTACAATGGAAGTACCATGTTTTCTCTGTGGAGACTGTTTTTATGGAATGCAGAGGTGCTGAAGAACCAAACGTGGTGGCGCACTAGGTTCAGATCCTCATACTGGCCAAAATCTGTCTACACCTCTCCTGGGTCATCCAGGAACAGGTCCCTAACTGGGAGCCTTACCAACATAGACCGGATCAATGTTTCCTTCAAAGTATATCTGCTTGAGAGGCAGGGTACCATCAAGCTGCATGACAAACTTTAAGCCAGATGTGTAAAACGGATGTGCATGCAACACTTAAATTCTTGACCAAGGCCAAAGTCCTGAAGTGGACAACACAACCTTGACTTCCTGGCGGATCACCTGTTGGTGATGTATATCTTGTAATAACAATTTTGACATGTGTATTAACTATATATTCCCTGCCTTGTTTTCAATCAGAGTCATGTAACACGAACTTCTGTTGTCTCTAGGGTTATGAAGTGGATGATGAACACTGATATAGTGCAGGAGGTCTCTGCGACAGTACAGGACATGGAAAAAAGCTCCTCGACCCATAGACATTCACACAGGCTTAACCAGTCTGCAACATCTACTCAGCAGATTAAGACATGGTAAATGTTTTGCCCCTTTTATTTCTGCTTCAGTGTGGCTCACTAGAAATGTGTTTTCCCACTTTTTTGTGTCTCTGGGCATTAGATCAGAGATAAAGGAAATAGAAAGTTTATGCACGTTGCAAATGTAAGATTAAAGAAGCCTTCTGCTGGCTTGAGTACCAGCTGTACACATGTTGTGATTGTAAACTGATTCACAGAGCATGCTGGGAAAGGGGCAGGCAGGTATGCTTTGTGCAGAGTTGCAAGAGGTCCTGGGTATTTAGCATTTTTTTAAAGATATTTTCTTAAGGATGTGTCGGTGTGTTGGGAAATGAACAGAGGATAGATTGGCTGGTTCTGCACCACTTTGTTGTAAATTGATGCATGACAATCTAGATATTGTCAGGGTCCTTTGGGAGTGAGTAAACAGTGTAGTAGCCTTCATAGACCACCACAGTCAGAAGAGAGTGGTGCAGCAAGGAGTGACCAGGGGCTGGCCAGCGTTTATCACTCAAGGGAAAGGTGAGAAGGATAAACAGTTAGATTGTTACTGGTGCCATCAGAATTTGAACTGTGTGCTTGCTGCTAAAGGTTCGGACAGAGGGCTTATGGTAATGTCCCAAGTGCTTTGATGTCAGTTCTGAAAAAAACTACTCTACTGGAGAGAGTAGTGTTAGTGTTACTGGGAGTGTCCAGGGCATCGGGTTGACACTCAAAGAAAATGTGAGATTGCTTCTGGTATCCTCGGAATCGGAACTCTTTGCTGGCTGTTCAAGATGGAGACTGATTACTTATGAAAATGTTCCAGGTGCTGGGATGTCAGTTCTTAACTCTACTCTTCTTTTTCTGCCTTTCTAACCCCCAGTGGAGCATAGGCCCCCAGCCACCTCATGCTAAGTCATTCTGTCCTTTGCTATCCCATGCAGCTCTCTTCCCATGTCCTCACTGCCTTTCTTACTTCCCTCTCTAGTTCCCTTCTCCATGTGTTTTTTTTGGGTCTTCCTTTATTTCTGTGCCCCTCTGGGTTCCAGTCCAAAGACATTCTAGTTGTATTATTCTCAGGTTTTCTTAACACGTGTCCTGTCCAACGCCAGCATCTTTTTTTCACCTGCTAGTCCACTTTAACTTGTTTAGTTTAGCTCAACTTATTATATAGTCCATTTTGGTAATAAGGTTCTGCTAACTGATGTAATTCTAGTTCCCATTCTATAGTTGTTTCACTTATTCATATTTAATTCATTAATGTATTGTTCAAGAATGTTCGTTTTTGTTTGGCTGTTTGTAGCTCCAGATCCAAGAGTGCTGCTGTCCGGTCTGCATCAGTCGACAGAACTGGCGGATCGTTGTCTTTGTGGACCGGTGCCACACCAGCAGTGCCAGGCCAACAGCCTTCCCAAGATGCTTCTTTATGCCTGTTTGCTACACCAAATTCCATACCCCCACAGTCCAGGACAGCAGCAGTTGCAGCAGCTTCACCTCTCAAATCTAGGTTGGTAAACATAGAAATTATAACTTGTGTTTATAAGAAAGGAAAGAGCTGATCTGTGGCCTCCAGATTCTTTCTTCACTCCTGGGTATTTGGTCAATAGCTCTTACCCTAATGCCCTGTGCCTTGACTCCACTGACAGAACAGCTGTAGGTCCCCATCAGTAGTGTTGGATAGACCCCGTTGAGACAAGCACTATTTCTGAGAGGCAGGACTTCATTAGGTAAGCACCTCATCAGTATTTTTTTGTGACATCATGAAATGAGATGTCCTGGGGGAAAAAAAAACCCCAGATAATTCCTTTCCTTTGACCTGTCCAACATAGGAGACCCTACCAGTAGCTAAGCTATCCACTGGCCTAGCTCTTTGGGCCGCTGGATGATTACACAAGTATATAGTGTTTATGACTCGCGCGTGCGAACACTCTGCTCAGATTATCCTTATGGTTACTCCCTACACCCACCAACACAAGATTTTGTGTGTGTTTTATCCAATCCGGCAGGAAATATTTGATACACTTAATATAATTTATCTTGAGTTCTTATGTCAGCCATTTCATGTGCTGCATCTTTATAAACTGCAGACTTGATTTCTCAGTAACTTGTTTAAGCCTCATGAATAGACTGTTCTAAGGGAAATAAGTTATGAGAAAATGTAAAGGAAATGTCAGATAGGATATTTTAGTAACAAAACTGTTTGGGATGGTCACAGTCTTGGTGTGCTGGCATTCAGATTGAACTGCAGGCTTTGGTAATAACATTGTACTGTTCAGCTACCAGTGACAAACACCTGAACATAAAATTGCCTAGAAAACCTACACATCGGTCAGTAAGTTCTGGGGTTGCTTCACAAAGTCCTGTAAAGCAGGGCTGTTTATTTGGCGGCTCTCAGATTATTGCGTATTGGATTTTATTCTTCAGTATTCTATGCGGGAACTCAGGCTTTTAAAAAAAAAAAAGTAAAGGACCCTTTCTACGCCTTTAGGCGTATAGGGCATATAGGGCTAGACCTATATTTTTTATAGACCAACGGCACAAGATGGGTGATGTGGTCAGCATCACGCCGGCCGCCTCTACTTCCCGGGATTGCACCCGGTACCCACTCAAGGCTGGGTCGACCTGGGAGCCAAGGTCATTTTTGAAGAAAAGTCCGTCTCCGCCAGGGAGCGAACCCACGACCTTCCGATCCGCGGCGCGCGTCTAGCCGCTCTGCCACGGCGACTCCCCACTCAGGCTTTTGGCTTATGATAATCCCATTTTCAAAATGTTGACCCTAGAATAAACTCAGTTTAATAGCCTGGCTGTAAAGAATGTATAGCTGACTTTTTACTGTTGTGTATTAACTATTTTTTGTTTTATGGAAATATTATTGTGGATTGTTGAAAAGGAAAATCAAAAGTTCACATGTTCAGTGTTTTATTGTTTGTTTTCTCAGGAGCTTTACAAGTGTTCCACCAAAGGACAGGATGAGAACTCCATTGAGTGGTATTTCCCTTGCATCTACCTCACACAACCGTACCTTGCCACCTACCCGAACAGTGCCTTCACACCTGGATTCATCTAGTGCCAACCAATCATTTGAGTATGTTAAATTTTTTGTTTCTTGGATAACAGCATTATTTATTTCTTTTCCTTTTTTATAATATGTACATGCTAGACATAGTCACTTACAACAACTATAACAGAAAATTAGTAACCACCTAGATGAAATAATGTCTGAGAAGGGCTGCAGGAGTGACTAGAAGAGAGAAAAACCAGAAATGAGGTCATAAGAGAAAAAGCGGGCACAGAACCAATTCTCAATGACAGAGAGAGACAGCAGATCAAGTAGTTTGCCCACTTAAAATGCCTTACAGTGCCATACCATATATAAAGTATACACCAAAAGAGGAGACGAACGTAGAGCACAAGGTAGACCAAGAACAAGATGGAAGGATAACATCAAAGAAACTCTACAAAGCACGTTGTGTGTGATCCAGGTGACCAGAAGAGCAAAAAAGCAGAACCTTGTATTTTCCATGGCACCTGAAGCCGTAAAAGAGGAAGTGAAGAAGAAAAAGGAAACACATAAAAAGATACAAATTGACCAGCCTACAACAAATGTCACCCACTAGTCATTATTCAACGGGAAATAAATAATGAGTCAAAGAAATTAGCTATTATGGCTGTATTATTTGAACCCTGGGCACCCCGAGAAGCTAACTTGACGCTGATGGTTGGACCAGTTCTCAGAGGAAGCCATTTAACAAACTTTTCTAAAGTAACTTGCTTATGAAACAGTTAATGTCATTGGTTGTGTTCTTGCCTGCACAGTATTTGGAAGTCAGGATATGAATACATTTACTAAACAAATATTGGGATAATTTTATTAGAAACCAAATTGCCTTTTTAAAGTCATGTTGACAACTTTTGAGGTCTTAGAGTCGCCGCATAAGTGACCTGATGCAGAATTTTTTTTTAAGGCCATAAGGAATGTCTTCCATGTAATGCTTCACTCTGTTCATGTTTATTTATTACTTCTTCCATGCATAGGTAGCCTCACACATTTTTTATACATAGTAATCGTCCAGCAGTGAAATGCCTAAACATTTTCTAAGAAGCTATTTGTTTTAAAAAGTATCCATATGTTTATTCAGGTTGGTATTTCTAAAACTTTGTGCAGCACATTGCTGCTGTAATGTATTCAAAGACTACAAATATTTTACATGTAAATACATTTCACTGCTAGGAGATTACTGTTAACATTTTTTTTGGGTTACCTTTCATATATGTACTTATTTATTTTGAAACACAAATTTCAAAATAAGGAAAAATTACATTTTAATATTTAATAATGGCAGGAGTAGAATGGTTGTTCCTTAAAGGATATTCCCTCTAAGGAATTCCCAGGGGTTTATGACTCGCTTTTTAGTGTTCCTGAGCAGGCAGGGTTGAGCCTTCTATATAAGTTTAGATAGATACACTAGCTTTGTTTTTCTTTCCCCAAACAGTAAAAGAAAAAAAAAAGTTTGCCATGTTCACAATGAAAGTTGGCTGCAGCGTTTAACCATTGCTGTCTTTGGGAATATCACATGGTGACACCTGTCATTTTCAGAGTGCGACTCTCATATCACTGTCTGAAATCCATGGAAAACAATTTTCTTAACTGGCTACCAAAGTAAATGAAAACTGAGTCGAGCATTAAAACCATGTTAAATGATGATTTCCAGCAATAGAATTTGAGCCATTATTTTTTAAATAAATGTCTTTTTCTTTTCAGCTCAAGTATAGGTCTGAGAGCTTCAGCCAACACGACCTCACTGATGCAAAACAACACTGAAACAATCATCGGTATCTACATGGGCCAGGAACCTATACCATACAGGCACCAGCTGCCAGGGAGAGCTATCACCTTGGCACAGATTAAATCATTGCTCACCAAGAAAGGGCCTTTCAGGTTGGTTCTATCACTCAGGCTTACACTTACTTACTATTTACTTCTCTTCTACGTCGCTTCTCTTCTACGTTGGGGTGTAGAGGTTTGCCAGAGAAATCGCCAGATTTTTCTATCAGCATTTTTCTTCCTGGCTTTGTTCCATTCCAGTCCTGTGTCAGTTGGGGACTGTCAGATGTTGTCCTAGCGGACCCTGGGTCGTTCTGGAGGTCTGGTTTCCTGGTTCTTAGCCTCCCATGCCTGGCTTACACACAACTGTTTAAAAGTGAATTACATTTTTAATCCAATCCAATTTTAAATTTGTTATGGTTAAATAAAACAGATCTTAGTATAACAAAAAAGTTACTACATTAAACATTGGCTGCAGTCTGATGTTTATGTCCCAGTTTGGATTCTAGGTCATATTTGGGGGAGTGACAATAGAGACCACTGGTCACCTAAAGAGCAGTGGTCTCTACTTTAAATAACATTGGAGGGTAGTTGAAGAAAATGAGGGCAAAGAAGAACTGGAATGACAACATCAAGAAATGGACAGGACTAAGTTGTCATACACTTATTCAACAAGTGCAAGATGGAGAAAGATAGCAGGTTTTATGTGCTAGTGCTTCCATGACCCTAACGGGTCAAGGGTTATGTTCCCCTAAAAGCATCTTGTAAAAGGTGACCAATTAGGTGTTTGCTGAATTTTGATGCATTTAGCTGTAAAGTGCTGATATTGCAGCCTAACTGTAAATCACGACATGGCTTCCAGCCTAAAATTGCCGACAGCCAACTGACCACTGGTGCTCTGAAAAGTTATTTGTTTCTAGCCAGGGTTCACTGATTCAAATTCCTCACTTCTGGACCAGGGGTCCAAAGGTTCCGTTGCACAGCTACACATTGAGTGCTTGTGCAACACTGAGCTGTGGAATTTGTTAGGAATCCTTTTTTTTAAAACTGTAATGCACATGACAGCAATGTGCTATGACCTGCAGTAAAGATCGCGGTTGGCTGATTGCGTTAAGAATGGTGTATACTTATGTAGTATATCGTGTGCGGTTCCAGTTTACAAAATTTACTGCTTGCAGCCACAGTGAGCTGTATATCTTGTTTGACGCTCTTAGTATTTACTTATTTGGGAGTTGCCTTATGCATGTTATTGTGCGAGCTTCAAAATGTTGCTGGGACTGACATTTTTTTTTGGAAGTTTTCAAACCAGACAGTGAAGGATATTTTGTGTGATTTCCTGCAGCTCAGGAATGCAGTTATGGAGTGACTAGCAAGCAACTTGCCACCCACGGTTTTCCTTGGGTGAATGCAGTAGAAGACTTTAAGTTGATGGGATGCAGTTTGTTCAGAATGTAGAACCATCTACTACAGAATTATACCAAATGCTGCTCACACAGATTCTATTCTAAGGCTGAAACCTGAACCGTCACAAAGGATCTCAATGTTGATAATTCAGCATTGATGTGGGTTATCTTGTGATTAAAATTGGTGGTCTTAAAGTGGTCGGGCCATGTGCCTAAAGATTGTAGGTTTGGTTTCAGGTTTCATTATTTGTTTTCAAGGGCTTTGTCTTGAAATATGTTGTTAACACATCATATCATGGATGTTGAACTCAGCCAGTTTCTTTCTATACATTCTTTTACCAAGGGAGGTAATTTAATTTATTCACCATCAGTCCTTATAAACTTGAAAGTTGAGACACTCAGTTAGTTTGTACACATTATGAAATAATTCATGATCTTCTTTTTCAGATACTATTTTAAAAGACACAGTGATGAGTTTGGAGACGGTGCTGGAGCTGTGTTTGAAGAGATCAGCGATAATTCCACCATTGTTCCCTTGTGGCAGGGCAAGATTGTCGTCAAAGTGGAAAAGATGGACTAGTGGTGACAGTTATGTGTGATGAAACTGGTGGATGAAATGAAGGATGTAAAAAGTGAGAGAGGAATGGATATTGTGTATTTAATGTTAATATTGTGCTGCTGCAAGCTAAAGAGAAAAACACAATTGCTAACTAAATAGAATCAAACTCTGAAAGTGTTTACAGGAGTTGTGGTTTATGAATTTGGTGGGTCTGTACTATGATATAAAGATATGTGCAGGCAGGATAGGAATTATACAGGCATGGTGTTGGATTCAGCACAGCAGGATGTTGGTGACCATATTGCATGATGGGAGACAATTGGGAAGGGAATAGGGACACAGAAGAAAATGATTGCAGACTTAATGTATGTCAGAGAAAAAAAAAACACACTGAAAAGCCACATAAACTTTTTTAATAGGTTTTTTCAACTAAGCTTTTTTTTTTTTTTTTTAAACTTGAACATTCAGCCACATTGCTGCATTTTGTGGCATGCTTAAACATTATTTGTTAATCTGACAGTGACAGTATCTTTTAAGTCAGTCATTTGTACATGGGGAAAGCTACACAAAAAAAAGCATGTTTAAAAAAGCTGCCTGTGGCAAAGCCTGAGAACACTGCTAAAATTTACTTTTCAACTTGTAAGTCATGACTATAGTGAACACATGTTACCAATATTCTAGAGGAAATTGACAGTGGGTATGTTTGTAACATTTAGCAAAGGCTCAGCGAAGGCGCTTGACCAGTGTTAACAGATCGAGAACGATAGCATGGCTGCCGGGTGATGTAGAGCTGCTAGAAGTTGCTAGGAGATTAGGAGTTGCCTACTCTGTCATATAAACTCTGTGTGATCATTGAAATACAACCGTCAGTGTTGCAGAACAGCCCAGATCAAACCATCACAAGTGAACTCAGTCTAGCAACTTTGTTTTTTTTTTCAACAGCATTCATGCCTTCTAAGGCTATAATGGTCCTACAGTTCCCTACTGAAATTCTAGGACTTTTTTCTAAAATTAACTTGAGCAGATTTTACTATTAGTCCTTTGCCATGGACTGTGATTGTCATGCCTTCCTAAAATAAATCACAGTATAGCACTGGTGTCTTAAAAGTTGCCAATGTTGTGTAAAGATTATCTATTTCTTTTTACGTCAGAGATTCTCTGGCTGTCTTTGCTGATTAAAAGTTAGTTGCTTATCTTTTACAGGATGTTGCAGAACCAACCCCAGCGTTTTTTAAATATTATAGATGTTGTAGTTTTTCTAGGCAAATTTGACGTTCAGTATTTTGTCATTGCCTCTGAACCGTCAGCTCTCTGTACCACTATTAAAACCAACGTAAAACAACCTATCCGCAGCTGGGATCAAACCTAGCATTACGAAGCACAAATGTGCCACAGATGCCGACTTAGCTGATTATGATTACTTAAAAATGATTATTATGAGAAAACTGATCCTTAGGATAACTACTGAAACATCAGATTTGTTATAGTGATGATGCAGTTGTATGTGGCTTTGTTTGTAGTCTCTGGTAGCCTGTCAATTTTATAGCTGTCTTTGTGCACGTTTGTTTTCTTTTCTCTGTGTCTGATCTCTTCCGTCTTTGCATTTTTCGTTCTTCTTTCCCTCTTTTTGTGCATTTGCTTCTTTTTGTATACTCTGCCCTTCCCGTTTGCACATCACCTTTCTGTTTGTTTACTCACTATACAACTACTTCTGTCTGTCTTCATTCATCTCCTCTCTCTCTCTGTCTCTCTCTCTCCCTGTCTCTCTCTCTTTCTACCTCCCCCTTTGTCTGTGCACCCGCTTTCCCCACCATTTTATTGAAATTAAATGCAAATTGTTTTTTTCGTAATACTCATTAGTTTAATGTTAAACTGCACTTTGTTAATTTCTTAGTATTCTCTTTCTGATAGTTCGATTACCTTTTGATTTCACTTGTATTAAACCTGGCCGTTACCATGCTGCTATCTTATTTATTTCTGAAAGTGTCCATTCTAAGTGTAAAAAATATTACATGTATAATAAAATAAAAATGTAACAATGATGATAAAAAGGACAACATATATTAGTTTTGCTTCTAGAGTTTTTTCGCTGAAGGAATATTACAGAGCTCACTGTTGCTCATCTAGTAACAGTTTATGAAGGAGGCGTGGGTCATGACCCATTATTTTGTGACAACTTAAATTAATTGCTTATGATTATCTTTCCCTGTGGGGATTCTGAGACCTAGTTGTTGTTTTTTTAAAGTGAAAAATTCCCTTTGGTAAGTATGTCATAAAAGCATAAAAGACAACTAAAAAGGACTCAACTGAAATCAGTTATGTTAGGCTGAAAAGCGCATATATTGCAGCCTAGTTGAAGAGTGCAACATGATTTGCCAACCTCCCTTTTAAAGAACTTTCTGTGTTCATTGTTTGACATTAGAATAGTTTTAAACTTTCTTTTATGCAATTACTGACCTACCAATACTGCTGCATAATAAATTTTTGGTCAAGAGGCAGTTATAAATTATGCAGTGTATTCTTTCTGCCTGATATTTATATTAGGTTGTCGCTATATAGATATACATAAAACATATACCAAACAAAAATAAAGATGTACAAAAGTAATAAAAATAATAGATGACATTAAATGTCAAAGGTTATCTTGGAAAAACAAAAATGTACTGTCTCTACAATAGAGATTGGCTGCAGTGTATCCACAGATAGCTCTGGGCATGTTACATTTTGTGGCAACTGTCTCGTTCACAGTGACTCGTTCCACTTTCAGGACACCACAAGAATCATCTTTTATCCTACACTGCCCACTGAGGGACTTGAAGCCTCTGGCAAAGATAATCTTGGGAAAAGCACTCTAAAGAAATTGCAAGCCACTATGTTGGATAAGCTTGAGTGACCAGCATTGAAGGAAAGTACCCTTGCAAGTAGCAGTTTCTTTTAAGCGTAGTAATTAATTCTTCGAAAGTGGGAAGGTGCTCCAGTATTGAGTAACAGTGAAGACCTCATAAGGCGGTGGTTCTCAACCTTGCTAATGCCGTGACCCTTTAATACAGTTCCTCATGTTGTGGTGACCCCCCAACCATAAAACTTATTTTCATTGCTACTTCATAACTTCAGTGAATCTGTCTTCTCTGATGGGGTTGCGATCCACTGACTTAAATGTGGCAGATTTCAGTTGTGAAGAACAGTTTGTTTATCTTCTGCAGTTTTGCTTATCTCCAGCAATTTTTCTTAACCCGGGAAATTTTTCTGACTGAACTCTTATCTGGATATGAAGAATTTCTGATGAGAAGAACCATTTCTCAGGTCCCCGCTGTCCTCCTTATCAAGTCTGCAGATATAAGGTTTCTCTTCTATTAAAAACATTATAATATTCAAGTGTATGGGTAATTTCCTAACATTTTTTCTTGGTAAACTGTATGGTTGTAGACCAGTGATTCCCAAATATCTAAGACCTTCGGACCACTTGTGTTAGAAGATTTTCCATGGACCTCATACTATAATTCTTATTTAGAATGTATTATAATTTATAAATATTAGTCATCAGAAAGATTGCATCCATAAGTTGAGGTTTTTTTGTGTGTTGAAATTTGTTTAGCGGACCACCGTGTTGAAACCACTTTTCTGGGGGGGGGGGGGTGGGGGGGGGGGGGGGGGGGGGGGGTTAAAAGAATAGGTAATTTTTTTTTTTCACTCCTCGTGCTGTTGTAATGAATTCTGTTGTAATGGCATGAGATAAGATTACCAGTTTCCTCAATTACCATCTCCCCTTCCTAAACAAATACTGTCCAGGATCAGTCTAGTGAACTCTTTTTAATCCCATAGCCCTATAATAGTTGGGAAACGAACTATATTTTCTCCATGTGTGTTGCAAGAATCAAATCCTTACCTGCACAGTTAGAGGCGACAGCACTAGCCATGCAGCCTGAAATCCTCAGGCTCAAAGAGCTCCTGCCTACATTGCAGAAGATTTAGATGCAGGCAGTAATGGCAGAACACTAGAACTTATATTGATTCCATGAAGTGTAGTTAGTTATAGAACAAGTGACTGGGATAGTATGAATTCAGCTTGTGTATGACTCAGCTGCTTGTGTTTCCTATTTACTTCTTCTCATGGGGAAACTTCTTTGTAGGTGCTTGAACCATTCTGGGTCGTCACCGAACACATCAAACAGTTAAATGCTTTGATCCCCTCTTAATTATGTCTCCATTGTGTAGCAGCTGATGACACCAGTTCTGTGTTTGTTTATTGTTCTTCCCTAGCTTCCTGCATAGTGGGCACACCACCATTCAGAGGAGATAGTCCAAGCCGTATAGATTAAGACCTGTTTCAGTGAAGTCATTCCTTTAACCTGTTTAGAAAAAAGGCTGGGTTTCTAGAAACTGCACTCTTTAAGTACCAGTCAGGCAATATCTCTTTCTGTCCTGAGAAATCTCAGGGTAAAGCAGCCTCTGTACGTCTGATGAAGTCAGTATAATAACACTATGGACAGAAGGAACTAAATTGGCAAGCAGCATAGAGAGTTAGCCTGCTTACCCCATACAAATCTTCAAACAAAAACGGCCCTTTCAGAAAAAGTTTGTTTAAAAAAAAAAACCATTCTTATAATTCTCAGAAACTATCCTAAGAAACTAGAGGAAGAGCACTTTTTATTTAACACCTAAAAAAAAAAAAAAAAAACCACGAGGTTGAAACCTATGACTACAGAGCAAACAGGCAGGCCTGCTAGCTGTTGCATCACCACAGCCGCAAGCCCCCCCCCCCCCCCCCCTACCAGTACAACAGGATTTATTGACACTGCCACAGTGAGCAAAATGACACCATCTTGTGTGTATTATGACATTACAATGACACCCCTCCCTCCCCCTCCTTCTCCTCCTCCCAAATCTTAAATATTTTTTTTTGGGGGGGGGGGGAAGGGGGGGGGGTAAATATAATCATAGTCACCTAAATATAATTATAGTCACAACTACACAGTTACAGTGAGTATCAATGTTATTACATAGGGGTAATAGCCACTGCC